GTAAAAATCAATGTGGTAATAGAAGCCTCTAACACGGACAGGGTCTGTGGCACCTCCAGCTAACACAGCGGCAGACTCAGAGATCAGGGAGAGAGAGCAGAGACACCACAAAGGACCAGTGCAGAGAAAGTGGGGGAAGAATCCCAAGTGGAAAAACACAGAAACAAAATAAGAGGGTAACTATGGCAGTGCGTCCACATTCCAGGCTCCCAGTTGCTTTACAAGACTGAGTGACAGGCTCCAGAAGATGGGAAGTCTTTCCAGTTCAGGCTCCGCGTTATCTGATTCACTCTTGGACACGCTTGCGAGGCTTAGTCAGCGCCTCTGACAGTCAGGTTGCCTGAGGAGAACTGGCTGACGTGAGTCAGGCCTGGCCAGCTCCTCGCCGGCCCCCTCCCGCATGGTCATCCCCATGGACCCTCCTCACTCAGAGAACTCGGGCAGATGCACCTCACACTGGCCAGGTTCTGAGGCGGGAGCCTGGAGAAGGTGACAGGCTCCTGGGACGTGTGCCTGCAAGGCCTCAGGCCCCTCGCCCCCACCCCTGAGTGACCCCAGCTCTGAGCTTATAGCAATTCCTCCCGGCAGCCAGCTCAGCAGTAAAAGGACCCTCTGCAAACAAACAGCCCCCTGCCCAAAGGGTTCACTCTCCAGCCACTTCAAATGGGCCTGAAGGTGGCTTTGGGCCGAGGTGGCCAGGGGCGGGTGGGGCCTGGGGGTGAGGGAAGAAACCACCTCACAAGCCTCAACAGGGCTGTTTCCAAATATTTCCCCAGTTGTTGGCGTCAGGGAAACGCGCCCACAGGAAACCTCACAGCCTCACCAGGCTTTGAGTTAGTAAAGACCACAGAGCCACCATCCAAACACCAAGCAGCCACTGGGACCAGACAGGGCGGGCGTGGAGTCTGGGAGGCGGGTGGGGCTCGTGGCCAGCCCCTGAGGGCCCCCTCCTCATCTGAAAATGAGAGAGAAGCCAGGGACCCCGGCCCTCCCCCACATACCCTCCCCTCACATACACACCCTTCCCCCACATACACACCCTCCCCTCACACACACTGGGCCTTGCTTCCTTCTGAGCTGAGGGCCTGAAATTCGTCCTGGGACACTGCTGTTGAGCACCTACCTCCTGACCAGTGGATGGACAGGTGTGTCCCTCACACTCCAGCGGTGAGAGGAGCTAAGGGGCGAGTAAGACAACTGTAAATGAGAATAAAGACACAAGGAGGGGAAAATGTGTCCCCAGAGTGACAGGGCTGGGGTCAGGGGTCAGGGGAGGGCTAGCTAAGGAGCACTTAGCCTGAGGCCCGAGGATGGGAAGGTCAGTGCAGGAGCTGCAGGAAGCAGCCGAGCCCTGGTGAGCAGATGGGGGTGGGGAGCAGCACCCGGCCTTCAAGGCCCTGGTGAGGCGGCCAGATCTCTTTGAAAGTGAGCGATGTGCAGAGGGTTTTATTCCCTAGACAAGACCTGATCTGAAAGTGGCAATAACCGTGGGGAAGGGAAGGTGGGGGCTAGAAGATGGGGGAGAATGCTGTGTCCTAATCAACACAGCTGGAAAAACAGCTGGAAGCAAAGGAACTTTTCCTCTTACCTCCTTCAATATAGTCCCTGTATTTCTGCCCTGTACTTGGGCCTAAACAAACAAAAACCAAATAGCTTTCTTTTTACATTTCTCTCTCTCTCCCTCCCTCCCTCCCTCCTTCAGAACTACTCAGGAAAACCTGCATGGACAAAATGCTGCCTTTGGATGAACATTTACAAAGTTCTGCATACATGCCAGTGTCATGTGAAACACATTTGGAAGCATTTTTTATCCCAAGCTGAACTGGTTTGCTCTCCAAGCTGCTTTCTATTAAAATGTTTGCATGCACTCTGTCTTCCTTCCTACAGCTGATATTCCCTCAAGGGGGGCTGGCCCCACTCACAGCCCCTAGGAAAGAGGACTTGAAATTTCTGGGACAGAAGCAACAGAAAGGGTTGCTCGGAAAAAGCTGGGGGGCCAGTCCCTAGGGGGAGCCCCCCTCCTCCAGCATGGGAGAAGGCGGCAGACCAAGTGAGATGCGGCTCAGGCGCCTGCTTTCAAAGCTTCCCCCTGTCTGATGGCTCAGCAGGGAGACACGCACTTGTGTCTGCTCAGCACTGAGCTGCAAAACACAGCTCTTTGGTCTCAAGCCCAGAAACGTCTCTGGCAACGTCAAGTTAAGGAGGGGTTCACTGGAGATGTGAAGGGGAGGTCCAAGAATGGAAGGGAAACCCTGAAAATCTGGCTCAGAAGGGTGGGCTGACTGCAGAGCCCGGGTGTCCCAGCAGCAGCAACACCCCCCCATGAATCGTGTCGCTTTCTGTGGGTGACAGTCAGAGGCAATTCTCAGGGGAGGATGTGCTTGGGTGAATGGGTCCTGTGTTGTTGGCCCTGGGGCTTGGGGCACCCTCTACAACCGTTGGTCCCATCAAGACTGCAGCAGGGGAGAAGGCCTGGAAGGAAATGCTGGCTCTCCCAGGGTGGCTGCATGATGAGAGGACAATGACAGCAGCTGTCCATGGTGACCTCCACCCATTAAGCCAGCAGGAAGGCAGCTCTCAGGAAGGACAACAGCTGCTTAAGGCATGGTGAACCCTTCAAGTGAAATCATGATGCCTGGGGGTGCAGATAATAGGCCCCCACTTTAGCCACTGGGCCCAGGCGTGTGGTAGGGGTGGCCACACCCGCTTCAGGGGGTTATCAGGAAATAGTCTGGACAGCAGAGCTGTGGTCTCACCTGGATGGCAGCCTTAGCAATGATTTTCCATACTCCAGCTCAATTTTTGTTGGTTCTGCCCTGCTTCCTCAGGGGTCTCTGCTCTGTTTCTCCTTTGTGGGTGTTTCTGAGGTGTGACCAGCTCACATGCTACCTGTGCTCTGCCTGCAGGTCCATAACTCACATGCTGGGGTGAGGCTGCGCCTGCCCAGGTGAGCAGCTCCTTCCTAACCGGGCCTCATCACAGGCCACCCCACCCCTCTCAACAATCAGGCATCAAACTAGGGAAACTCCAGGGAAAGAACCAGAAGAGAGGTTTCTATGCTCCCCACTTTGGATGGCAATCAGCAGAAAAGAAAGCAGTCGAGTCAGGGGAGACCAGCCTCATGTGGGTGCCTGCCATGGAACCCCCTTTGGCTCCCAGTCTATTCCAAAAAGCCGCACTAGTGCAACTTGACATTTACAAGCTCTTTTGCTCTTGGGCTGCAAACCCATCTCGAATCACACTCCGCTGCTGGCGGAGGGGGAGACTCCCCAGCACAGCAAGAGCCAGGCCAGAAACACCCTAGCGGGCGGGCCTGTGAGCTCTCTGAGTCCTGCCCAGACACGCCAGGGATGACACAAGGCTCCAGGCTCCACCTTGGCTCAAAGTCTGAAAAGAATCTCCCCGGGCCAGAAGCAGTCACACAGGATGCGCCCACACATTCCACACATGGAATCGCTCGGGGGGAGGTGGGGAGACAGCGCACTGACTCCAGGGGCCCCCACTGCTGCCCACCCCTGGGATCTGGCAAAGCTGACAAGTCCTGGTGTGGCCACAGGATGTGCTATTCTGGCCGCCTTCTTCCTGTGAGGCTACCACATCCTGGACACCCTTCTAGCAGCATGCTCCCAAAAGGGGGGGGCGCCTCTGGCTATTTAAAGTCAAGCCACCCCATCACCAAAGGCCAGGCTCCAGCCCTCCAGTGATGGCTGTGGACTCTGGCAATTGGGAATAGCAGCAGGCTGGCTCCAGAGGCAGTGGCTTCACAGTCACTGAGCTGTGTGGCCTCGGGCCGGTTACTTAGGCTCTCTGAGCCTGCTTCTTCCTCTATAAAGTCGGGATAATACAACATCTTACAGATTAGGTGAAAGTGACAAACAAAGGCAGAGCCTGGCCCAGCATGGAGCTTATGAAGCAGGAGTCGTTGTGTCGAATCAACACATTTGGAAAGACTAGTTGTTGCTAAAATGCCAGTCGCCTAATAAAAAGAAGATCCCATCATGGTCTTGCTGATGGCCAGTTACCCACTGGCCCGTGGACAGCACGCTGGCCATGCCCACAGCCACATCCCAGCGAGGCTGGCGGAAGGTCCTACCACCGTCAGCCGATCCCAACCAACCCTGATTCTCCCTTTATATGAAACTGGGAAAACTACAAGGGCACAAAAAATCCCCGAAGTGCAATCCCAGGGCCCCCAGCCCGCAGCAAACCAAACCTCCAGAATTCTGGGTCTAATGAGAACTGACTTAGTGTCGGGGATGAAGACTTTGCTTCCGCGGAGCAGAGACGACTTCAAGGACAATATTTAAATAGAAAACAAACCATTTGCGAACACAGCATTTCCCAAACTGAGTCCCTGTGTCTGGGTTTAAAAATTAAAAAAAAAACAAAGGTCCTCCGCTCAGGTGGTTATCCCCGAGATGTGTCCCTGTGCATGTTTGTGCATCAGGAGCTCTGAGAAGGCCTGTCACAAGGAAACCCACTGGCTTTGTTTTAATTCAAGGTTTCCAGAACTTTTGGAGGCATGAGGGGTTTTCACACACCCCTAGTAGCCCTGCAAAACCCCCAACTTGGGAGACCTGGCTTGCTTTCAAAGCAGCTGTGAACATGTCCATTCAAAACCCCATAAATCCTCTCCATGTGGCGAACACTCCAATGAACCCAACTCAGAGCAACAGGTGAGCAATGGAGGGGCCCCCCCTTTCCAAGCCTTACCTAGTTTCTTTTTAAACCTATTGCTTTCTTTCATAAAAATTCCAAACACTATATAAAAAGGCTCTGATCTCATAGAGCCTGCTTATTAAAGACGCCTCCACGCAGCTCTCCCCACCCAGGCCCCCCGAATGCTCTCCTTTTACCCAGACTTGGCTTCAGCCCAGATCCAGAGCCTCTGAGAATCCCTTGAAATCTGGGCACCTTGGTGCCTCTGGACCTTGCCAGGTTTTGCTAAGTTTGAGCCAGGGCCCTGAGGCCTCGGCTCTGCCGGTGGGGAGCACGCCTACCTGGTGGTCGATTTTGATAAGCGCGATGTCCGCCTTCTCGTCCACATCCTTGATCTTGGCCTCGTAGGTGGCACCATCCTTCAGCTCTACTTTGACCCGGTGCTTGTTGGTCACCACGTGGGCATTTGTCACGATCAGTCCATCTTCAGACACAATAAAGCCAGACCCACTGGCCACCGGCACCTCCCTCTTAGAGAAAGGAAGCCTGGAACCAAAGGATGGAGGCTGGTTAAGCCTGAACCACCTCAACGCAACCCTTCATCACACTGACCCTGCACCAGCGACGTGGCTGGCAGCTGTCACTGTAGATACTGCGTTGATTTCACAATAAGAAAGGGGCCACTGATGATTTTTGCACGCCTCAAAAAATTCCACTTACAATCTAATCCTAGAGAGTGTCTTCTGAACGTGTCTCAAAACATCTAGAATGTAAATGTAAAAAGTAACCAGAAATCTGGGCCTCCCTGGTGGTGCAAGGGGTTAAGTCTCAGCACTATGAAGCTATCCGCAGCCACTGCAGCATGAGTTCAATCCCTGGTCAGGGAGCTACCCACATGGTGCAGCAGACCTCTCCTGACTCGCCCGCTGCTCCCCTCAGCAGTGTGTTTCAGGAGATCCTCTCACCCCCTGCACCTCTGGCCTACACCCCAGTTCTTGTATGCATGAATAAATCAATCTTTATAAAAAGAAAAATAGTAACTGGAAACCACTCTAAGGGAGAAACTCTATCTTCCTGAAGGAGAAGGTTCAGTGACCCTTTAAAGTGTCTCGAGTGAGCTGAGGTGTTGCCAGCACGGGCCGGGGCACGCACAGAAGTGGTCGGGAGGGCCGGCCCGCTTACTTGCGAAACAATTCGATGTGGACCACGGCGGGCGCGATCTTCTCCACCACGTCGGCAATGAAGTTGTATTTGTGGCGCAGACTGTCAGGATCTTCCTGCGCTGAGAACAAAGGCAGAGACAAGAGACTCTTACAGACGCTGCTTGGAGCCGCGTGGCCAGGAGAAAGGCAGGTTTCAGAGGGAGCCAAAATACACACCCAGAGGGCCACGGAGGCCTGAGGTGTGAGGACAAGGTCCCAGACCTGGGCACAGATCCTTGCCGCGCTCGAGGAATGAGCCACTCAGATAAGACAGCAAACTCCATTGAACATGACCTCTGTGTTTCTCAATAGTTTCTCTGTGAAAACGCTGAGCCACCAGCGAACACCTGTATCTCCTTCAGCAATTCCAGAACACGCTGGTCTCTTAAGGATGCCCTCAGCCAGCACCTCCCACCCCCACCCTCCCCAGCACAGGGCCGCCACAGAGGGCAAGGCTGTGGCTGATTTTGACGAGGTGCCCATCAGGAATTACATATTTAAAAGACGAGGACGTTTGTAGGCGCAGGTGCAGGCCCTGCCTCTCCCACCCACACCACAAGGTAAACAGAGGCCACGGTCTGTCCCCAGAGGTGTCCCATCACGTCTTAACCACCCCTTCCAACCCCTGGGGCATCCCAGGCCAAAAGGCACAATAGGCGCCCGCTGCTGCTGGGGGGAAATGAGAGAGAAATCTAACAACCATCATTTTCTCTATAAACACGTGCATTATGATTAGTGGACCCCAGACGGTGGGCCTTGCAGACCCTGCTATGCACTGCCCAGTGCAGGGAACTCCAGACAGTGGGCCTTGCAGACCCCACTATCCACTGCCCAGTGCAGGGAACCCCAGACAGTGGGCCTTGCAGACCCCGCTATCCACTGCCCAGTGCAGGGAACCCCAGACAGTGGGCCTTGCAGACCCCGCTATCCACTGCCCAGTGCAGGGAACCCCAGACAGTGGGCCTTGCAGACCCCGCTATGCACTGCCCAGTGCAGGGCTCCCGCAAGGCAAAGCAACTTTCCACCAGCCAGATGCATACCCACTGCATCCGATTCAGAAGTGAGCTACTGGAGACCCTGGCCCCAAACCCACACCGCCTGATGAAACCCTTCAACAAGGCTGTCTTTGCTTAAACAGGTGGGGGGGTCTGGGCTGGTCTGCAGAATGCAGCTCCTTCCTCTCCTCCCATCCTGCCACCCGTCTGGCTCAGCACTGCACACAGCACGCTCCAGGCACCCCTGGGCCCGAGCAGAAGTTGGCGGGAAGCTTTCAAAAAACTTCAAAGCAACTGGAGAGAGTCCTCGGAAGCTTGGCGCATCTCAATTTTAACTCTGTTGTGACTTTTTACCTTGCATTTGGCAGTAATCGTCTCGAACATGGTGTGCAAAATGGTGAGGACCTGCCCTCTTTCCACAAAGCATGTTTTTCCAAGGAGCAGAAAAATGGCTGCACCCCCCAGGAGAGATAAACTAACACATTCAAGACGGCCTCCGTTTACAACTTGGGCTTTCACCAGAAAGAAGCCTGTTCCTTCGCACAGGCAAGCCAGGGGCCCCGGTCCAAGCCTGGCCGCTAGCTCCCGTCACGGCGCACTCAGCGGGATTGCAACACAGGCCTGCAGGTTAGGGAGGTCACTGCCCTCATTCAGCAGGGGCCTGGGCACCCGCCCCAACACGCACACACACTCACACTCACGCACAAGCCCAAAATCACACCCACACTTAATCACATGCATGCACTCACCTGCTGTCACACAAACACACTTCACACTTACACTCTGAGCATGCATACACCCACACACGTCCACATGCATATCACACACACCTACACTCATACACACAAGAGCAAACACACACATGCATACACACTCCCGCACAGACTCACACTTTTCCCCTCACGAGCATGCACACACACACCTCCACATACTTACACTCACACACAGACACACCTGCCCCCCTGCATATGCACTGCAGCCACTCCCCAGGCCCGGCTGCCGGTGCTGCCTCAGTGCAAGCCCTCCGCCTCTCAGCCGAACATCCACAGGCGTCCCCAGCCTGTTCCCTGGGTCCCTGCCACAGCTGGGTGTCCCCACCAGCGACCTGAGTACTCCACACCATCGCCTGGCTCATAGAGACATCTCAGGGAATGGCCTGCCTCCCCCAAGCTGTTTCCTGGGAGTGGGGGGCCGTCTGTGAGCCAGGGCCCCTGTGGTCCTGCCTTGAGCAGCTTGAACTCAGGGCTGGGGTCCGCCCTCTTGCTGCACAGCATGGCTTTCTAAGGTGCAGGATAAGATCCGCACTGCCTGGGCAGAGAAACCAGCTGAATAAATACAAGGCAGCATCATTTAATTATTTTTGTTTTCAAAAATGGTGTTATGTTGCCTTGTTTTCATTTTTCCCACCTCCCCTGTGGAATCGGAAAATCAAATATTGTTCCTACATTATATTTAGGGAGGCTGAGGTACACCGGTTGTGAATGAGTTCTCCATACACGCTCAATTTTCCTGGATGCAGCATAAATCACAGGGAAATCTGGGCAACTCCACAGCTTTTCCACTGAGCGCTGGCCGGCGCAGACCCGCTCCTCAAGGCTGCCAGGTAGCTGCGGTTCACTGGGCTGTCGCACTGGATAGCCCAACGGGAGAGTAAAAGGGGGACAGAAAGAGTCCTCCCAAAGGCAGAGCCTGGGGAACATCGCCCAGAGACCGCTGTAAATAAACACATCTGGGCTCCCTAGGAAAGCCCAACGGGAGGCTGAACTCAACCAGGCGGCGTCCCCCAGGACTGGCGGGGTTGCCGAGACCCTCCCAAGGAGGAAGATGGCTTCTAAGCACCATTAACCCGCTTCCTCTTTCTAACTTCCCACATTAGTCAGGGGAGAATCTGCACACGTCGGGGTGGAAATGGGCACAATTTTTCCAGCTAAAACGAGAAACAGTTGTTTCTCACACAAATGAGACAAAGTGGCTCTAGGGTCTGTCCACTCTGGAAACGCAGGGAGGACACTACCCTGGGCCCCGGAGCACCGGCTCCATCCCCCGTCTGCTGGTGGCCTCCCTCCATCTCCCCTGCTGTCAAGGGGGGCCCATCGCAGGAGGCTGAGCAGCAGAGTTGATTCCAGGTCCAACGGCCTCCTGCTCCCCACCGTGTGCCACTATAAGACTGCAGGATTTGAGATTGGACGCAGGACTCCAGGAATTCTGCAGGTGAGTAAACAGAAAGGAGCTGACTGGGGACAGACCATAAAAAAAGCCCGACAGATGAGTCTAATGTGTGCAGCCTAGAGGAGAAAGCAACCACTGACCTCTGTGACCTTCTTGGGGGAAGGGAGTGTCAGCGGGAAAATTAAATAGAGCAGAAAAACAACCGAACTTAAGGAACATGGACTAACCGTTCAAAGATGGCCAAAATGTCAAACCAAAGAAGCGTCTGGCTTCTCCAAATTCAGCTTCAAGATGAGGAATAAAATGTCTCTGAGTGCAGCTTGGCTCAGTGTTAGAGGCCTGCTGCAGGGAAAAGGCTGTTCCACCCACCCAGAGGAAGCCACTGTTGCCCTGTAATCTGTAGCAACCCGAGCTGGCCCTGCTTGCTCTGACCTCCAGTGTCACTCAACTCTCTTCCTTCCAGAGGAGTCCACCCATTGAAGAGTTTCCAGAGACCAACCAGGCCAGCTCTGCCACGACCCACGCTCCAGGATGCAGACTCGGCATGGTGAGAACGGGCAGGAGCACACACTTCAGTCTCAGATGATTCAGAGGGTCATGTCAGCACAGCAGCTAATGCTGTGGGACCTTAGGTCTGTCAGCTAATTCCTCCAAGTCCCATTCCCTTGTCCACAAAGTGTGGTGATCACACCTCCATGTGTTTTTGATACTGATTTTGTGAGCTACTGTAATGAAGAACTTGCAAAATAAGAGCACACAGTTTAAAAGGATAAAAACAAAAGTACTGGTAAGAGTGCTACTTGGTTGGTGGCTGTGGGCAAGTAGAGCAGAGAAGAAAAGGGAACTTGAGGGATCCAGGGGACCACTGTCTCCACCTTGGCAAACTCTGTAGGTGCTGAGGGTCCTCCTACCTGGGTCATCGTGGCCACCCTCAGCAGTGACTGAGGGAAAGTGAGGGCCTTATACAGTTAGGCCAGAAGGTAAGTCTGGGCAGAGTCAAGGCCTGGTCCTTCTAACTGCCCCATTCCTGTATAGAAAGCTGGAGTTAGCTGGCCTTCAGCAATGGCCAGCCATGTACAAAGGACTGGCAGATCTGAACTCATATAAATGAAGGTAATGTAGCTTCTACAGTCCTCATTAACAAAGAGAAAAGACAAAAATAACAACATCGAGAATCAAAGCAGGAGCATCACTACAGAGCCCACAGACATTGAAAGTATAAGGAAAGATTATGAAACAATTTATGCCCTTAAATCTCACACCTCAGGGCCTCCCTGGTGGCGCAGGCAGTTGAGGGCCCACTGTGAAGCTGTCCACAGCCTCTGCAGCGCAGGTTCGATCCAGGCCAACTGGTGAGAATCCCACATGGTGAAGTAGACCTCTCCTGTCTCGCCTGCTGCTCCCCTCAGCAGTGTATTTCTTCAGTCTGCCTGTTCTGTTTCCTGCTCTGTCTCCAGTGAATCCTCTCACCCTCCTGCACATCTGGCCTGTACCCCCGTTCTTGTATAAATAAATCAATCTTAAAAAAAAAAATCTCACAGTTCAGATCAAATAGACAATTTTCTTTAAAATACACAATTTACCAATGCTCACTCAAGAAGATAAAATAATGAATAATCATTTACCTATTAAAAAGACTGAAAGTTTCAGGCTCATATGACTTCATCAGTGAGTTTTACCCAACATTTAAGAAAGAAAGAATACTAATACTTTACAAAGTTTTCCCAAAAGTAGGAGAGGAAGCATTGCCCACCTTATCTTATGAACCCAGAATGACTTATTTATAAAAGCTAGACAAAAGATATTGTAAAACAACTGCAGACTAATATCCCTCATGAACACAACCCAAAAGTGCTTAAGATTTTTAGCAAATAGAATTCAGCAATATCATAAAAAAAGATACTATATCATTAGCA